AAAAAATGAACAACATCTTCCTCAAAAAAATTGCCAAAAATCAGCGGTAAATTCTAGCTACCTAAAATTTGCACTTTGTTATACTATAATTGAATAGGCTAAGAAATTGCATACTCAGAATGTTTCTCAGAAATGTTTAAACAATTTTAAGTTTTGACTTACATGCTTTTTGTTAGATAACGAGCTACACTTTCATAAAAAAAACATGTTTCTAAGACGAGTTTCACTTCCATAAAAAAAAAATAATACGAAAGGAAAAAAGCCAAAGTGTGATAAAATATCTCTTCCCTATTTATGTTTTCACCACTGCGCATACGTAGTACAATAAATGCCATACAAAAATCTGAGAATATATAGGAAGGCTCAAATTTAACAGACCTACGAAAAAAATCCATTTTAAAATGTTTTTAAAAGAAGATGGAGAAGCACTATTTTTACAAATACATATGTTTTTTTTTAAGCCCTAAATGCTAATTCAATAGGCCAATACTAAATACGTACATATGCATATACAAGAGTGGAGATAATCGAAATTTTCGTTATGACTAGTATAGCTCTTACCGTTAACATAAACACTATATTGACATTACCATCGCCATTACCAATACCAATACCAAAACAATTACCTTGACCATTACCGTTGCTATTACCAATGACCCTAACATTACCGTGACCTTGACCATTACTATTACCATTACCTTGTCCATTACCATTACCGATTACTTTACCATTGTCATTACCTCTATAATCATTAAATTACCATTACCATTGAGATTACCATTGTCTTTAAGATTACCATTACCATTAATCTTGTCATTACCATTACCATGACCATTACCAATACAATTTCCATTACCATTAAGATTACCATTAGCATTAGCATCGCCATTATTATTACTATTATGATTACCAAATTTCCGAATTTCATTAAGTAATGCATTCTTCCATGCTCGCACATGCACATGTATACATATGCAAGTACTAAAGTTATATGCATATGTAGTATAGTACAATTGTAGATTGTAAGTTTTTATGAGTCTATCAAAGCTC